AAGGGCTGGCGCTGGGCATGCGACGCCCCCCCCTGCAGGGGGGGAGGCTCGTACGAGTGAGGAGCCGCATCCTCCCCACGGCTCGAGGGCCTGGGCCTTGCGCCCCCGGGCGCTCAGCCCCCCGCCCCTCCTCGCGCCCACCCCCAGCGCACGGGGCTCGGGCTGCAGTAGCGGGTTGTTAACCTCGTTGGAGGTTTCCCAGCTGGGGGGCGATGGGGCCCGGGGCTGGCTGGCTTTGAAAAGAGCTGGGGTCTCATCCTGGCCTGCTCTGGGGCGCCTTGTGCCTCAGTTTCCCCATCTGGCCCCTCTGCGCCCACCCCAAAGCCCAGCAGTGTCTGGGGGGCGGGTGGCAGGTGCCCGGGCGTGCACACTGACTAGGCCCGAGGCAGCGTGGCCTAGCAGGGAGTGCCCCAGGCTGGCACTCCTGGGAGTTCCTCCTGTGCCTCAGTTTCCCCATCCAGCCCCTCTTCTCTCTTTGCCCCCGAAGCAGCCGATTCCCCCCCAGACGGCAGCACTGAGTGTGTGGGGCACATTCCCCCCCTGCAGGAGCGAGGCGCTGGGCGCACACGCACCAGCTGAGCCCCGCCCCACGCGTGTCGCACGTGGTCTGTGCCGTAGCGTGGCGGTGGGGCTTCCTGGCAGCTGTGCTGGACGGGGCGGCGCAGTGCCCCTGCGGATGTGGTGCTGGACTCACGGCTGCTCGCTCTCTTGACCCCCCCCCAGGTCCATGCATGCAGCGAGGCTGGCGCCCAACCATGGGACCACGCGCCCAGCAGCGCTGGGTGAGTCTAGCTGTGCCGAGGCACCCCAGCGATGCCTGTCGCAATGCCGGGGGGCGGGCAGGGCGCCCACCCCCTTCCTGGGCCCAAAATTGTGCAACGGAAGGAGCCGGGGAGTGCAAAGATTGGCGGGTTTCCTGTTTTCTCTCTCGGGCCCGGGGGGAGGAGCAGGGCAGGCTCCGGGCCTGCTCCGGGGGACAGGGGTTGGCATGAGGGGCCTGGACCCCTGGGTCTGCCCCACAAGCCTGGGGAGTGGGCAGTGGTGGGGGGCAGTTTCCAACCTGCCCCCAGCCCTGCTGTGCCCCTGGGCGCTTACCCGGGGGTGGAGGTGATGCATCTGCAGACGGGGGCCGTGGAGAACTTCCTGGCCTGGGTCGGAGCGGGGTATCCAGGCTCCTGGGCTCTCTGCCAGCCTCTGGGACGGCAGTGGAGTTCAGGGGCTCGGGCTGGAGGGGGTCTGGGTGTTGGGGCATCTCACATCCCCACTCGGTGCCTCAGTTTCCCTCCCTCCAGGGTGCAGATGCCTGCTCAAGGGGTGCGAGGAAGTGGCTGGCTTTGCACCAGATGTGCTGTGGGGGGAGGCATCCCATGCATTATTTACCTGCGTATCCGGTGTTGGTCCAGGGATGCCAGGATCCTCCCTGGGGCATCTGGCTCCGATCGGGATCGGCCCGTGTGCGCCCTACCAGGCAGGAGCCCTGCCCGGGGTGGGGGAGCGACTTCCCCGTCCAGTGCATCTCTGACCCCCGTGGAGAGGGGCACACGCCCCCTGCCCCTTGTGGTGGGGGGCCGGCCCGCGTGTCCCTGGCATGTGCACGAGCCTGGGGGAGCCCCTCCCGGCTCCGCGTGCATCTGCGGCAAAGAGCCCCGTTTCCATGGACGCTGCCGCGCCAGGCTCAGAGCCGGTTTCTCTCTCTGCGGCTTGCCCGGGCACTGGGCTGCCCCTGTTCCCCCTGCCTGGGCGGCATGCGGTCACCCCGGGGCAGGGGGCCTCGTCTCTGTTTGCAGTGGGGAAACTGAGGCATGTGGCTGTGGGCCCCTCCTGAGGTCTGGGGCAGAGCCTGCCAGGGCCCCCAGGGCTGTGGAGTCCTGGTCCTTTGTTGCAAGCCTGTACCCCCCTGGGCACACCTCCCTCCTCCAGATGAATGGTCCCCCTGTCCTGTGGGTGGGGAAACTGAGGCACGGGGGAGCTGGCTCCCGGGAGGGGCGGCTGGGGCTCACGGCCTGGCTCTCTTCCCCCCCGCAGGGCCCTGAGAGCTGAGCGGGGCGGATCGCAGCGGGGGTGTTGTCCCTGCCGGCTCCAAGATGTCCTACTTCAGGGAGCACTTCTGGGTAAGGGCCGCGCTCCCAGGGGGTCATGGAGGTCGGGGGAGCTGTGTATCCCAGCAAGTATTGCTGGAGGTGAGGTCTCCCACCCGCCCCCCTCCCGCTTCCTTGCTGCTGCTTGGGGGCCAGAAAGCCCGGGTGCAGGATTCACCAGCTGGGATGGGGTGGGGACTGTGGGGGTCGTGGCTCCGATCCTGCAGCACCTGCCCCTCCCAGGAGCGGGGAGGGAGCTGGTGACCACCGGTGCCAGCAGCCCGGCCGAGGGGACCCTTGCCTGCCGTTAATTAATTAGACGCTCGGAGGCCCGGCGGGTTCATTAGCGCTTGGGAGTAATTGGTAGCTAAACACAAGGACCTCGGTAATTGCCGGAAGCTGCTTTGGGGACCGAGGAAGCTTTTGTGTGTGGCGCTCCCATCCCGCAGCACCTTGGCACTGCCAGGCTGGCTCAGGCACCCCTGGGGCCCCTCCTGCCAGGGGGCTGAGCTGGGCACAGGCCTGGGCTGGCACGTGCTTTGCTGGGATGTCTTGCCACGCCGGGGGGGGAAGGGAGGTCAGTGCCTGGGTCCTGGGGAAGTTTTCCTTCCTCCCGCCGTGGCACCTCGGGGATCTCCAGCCCTGGCGCCTGCTGGCGTGGGAGGAAGGGGAAGTGTGAGTGGTGGGAGCCCAGCTGCGAGCCCAAAGGCCCCGGTGCTTGGCGGGGTCCATGTGCCCTCGAGGGAATGGGGCGCAGTGCAGGCCTGAGCCCAGCAGTGGGCAGAGGCTAGGATGGGGAAACTGAGGCCTGAAGCAGAGCGGGGAGCAGGACGTAGCCGCCTGGGCTCGACTCGTGGGGCCTTGCTGCCCCCTCTGAGTGGGAGCAGGGCTGAGACCCCTCTGCTGGTCACTGGCAGGGCAGGGAGGTGCCCCTGCCCCTCTCCCCCCGCTGGGATAGGGCATCACGCTTTGGCCCCTGGCCCCGTCCTGCTGTGGGTGGCCATCGATGTCGACCTGGGAGGGTGTAGGCAGTGGAGTCCCCCAGGACTCAGTCCTTGGGCTGGTGCTGTTCAACATCTTCATTAGCGACCTGGACGAGGGGGTGGAGAGCACCCTGTTCAAGTGCGCTGATGACACCAAGCTGTGGGGTAAAGTGAATACACCGGGAGGCAGGGACCGCATCCAGGCAGAGCTGGAAAGGTTGGAGAAGTGGGTGGATCTGAACAGGATGCGGTTCAACAAGGACAAGTGCAGGGTGCTGCACCTGGGAGAGGGACCCAGCATTATGGGTATAGGT